GCACCGATGGACATCCTTATGCCTGAACATGGTGTTCATTATGGACAATCCGTGACTTGCACAGAAGTCCAATAATGAGACACCACTCGGGTTCAGAGCTGGGGGCCCGTTCCTCCCGATCACGCCCCTCCAGGTGTCACTGTCGTTTCCCACGTGGGCGTTGAAGTCTCCCAGCAGAATGATGGAATCCCCGGGAGGGGCGCTTTCTAACACCCTCCCCAGGGATGCTAAGAAGGCCTGGTACTCCGTACTGCCGTTCGGCCCATAGGCCGAAACAACTGTCAGAGTCCTCCCTCCAACCCGAAGGCGAAGGGAGGCGACCCTCTCGTCTACCGGGGTGAACTCCAACACGAGACGGCTGAGCTGGGGGGAGACAAGCAGCCCCACCCCCGCCCTCCGCCTCTCCTCGCAGGTAACTCCAGAGTAGAAGAGAGTCCAGCCTCTCTCAAGGAGCTGGGTTCCAGAGCCCTGGCTGTGCGTAGAGGAGAGCCCAACTATTTCTAGCTGGTATCGCTCCACCTCCCGCACAAGCTCGGGCTCCTTCCCCCCCAGTGAGGTGACATTCCACGTCCCCAGAGCTAGTTCAAGCGCCCGCGGATCAGGTCGCCGAGGTCTCCGCCTCTGGCTGCCGCCCAATCCTCTTTGCACCGGTCCCTCATGGTTCCCCCTGCAGGTGGTGGGCCCACTGGGGGATGTGTCTTCAGTAAACAGGCAATAAGCCTTACAGCACGTTCATAATTAACCTTTGGAGCATGTTTGACCATGTCACAGTCTGGATAATGCCTGTTGGAATACAAACCAGGATTCTAGATCAGACTATAAAACCAGGCAATATTGCAACTGCATTGAGGTATGACATAAAAGCAGCACATTAAAGTAGTAAAGGAAGAAGAAAAACAGTAGGAATGTGCACATATATACTGAAAAGGAGCAGGTGAAGAACTAGATTTGAACACTAGAGCAGCAACAGATAGACTTTCTTCTTCATGGGAGAAAGATGCAGGAGTTTGTCCTGCAAATGGAGGGTTGCCAGTTCAAACCCAAGCTCTCTCCATCTCAGTCATTTCCTTGGGCAAGAAACTAACCTGAACTGTCTACCGATAGTGGCAAGAGGGCCCAGAGGTGCCTTCGTAGCTCATCTTCTCCTTGGGAGGAGTGAGCTGAAGTGACTTTTGGATACCCCTGGAGGAAGGGGTTCCAGGCACATCCCGGCGGGAGGAGGCCCAGGGGACAGCCCAGGACACGCTGGAGGGACTATGTCTCTCGGCTGGCCTGGGAGTGGCTCAGGCTTACCCAAGCGGAGCTGGAGGAGGTATCAGGGGAGAGGGAAGTCTAGGAGTCTCTGCTGAGACTACTGCCCCCACAACATGGTCAATGAAAAGCGGTAGATGACGAGTAAAGCACGAGCACCTGGATTCTGACACTTTCTTCAAAGATAGTAAATACTGACTCTTTCTAAACCTTAGTAGGTACCTGTAAAGATAACATGACAGCTTTTTTTAAAATACACTCTTATTTAGATTTAAGATCGGGCTGTGAAATGTCCCAAACAACAAAAATGAAAATAGAGTCAGATTTAACTAATTTTTTAAAAAGCAACAAATGAAACACAAAAACAGTCACTAAATCAAGAGTCTGAATATTCAGTATAAAAATACTTTTTTTTTTCAACCAAACTTGCAAATAATTAACTTGCTAATCATTTGATCCCCTGCATGCTGATGGCATAGTCCTTCCTAAATATCCCAGTCAGAACATATCCCTGTATTTGTAACTCTCTGTCTCTCCATCCATCTTAACTATATTCTTTATTTTTAGCATCTCTTTTTTAAGTCATCTCCTTCCTGGGCCTCTCTGCCTGGTCCATCCAGTTCTTCATCCATCCCTCCTGTGGCGTTTCAACACAGTTGTGTTCCAGACAAACCATCTGGTCCACTTTATTAATGACCGACCCGACACGGTTTAGATGTCACCTCACTGCCACCGCTCGCTGTGCTATGTGTGTCCATGTATGGGGGGGAAAACAGGTGCATGCTGATTGATGAAGTGAGTTTTTGTGCACTTTAACCACTGTAGCAGGTGTCCTGCTTACAGAAAAAAAAACATGTTTTCCTATGTCGCTTTCACCTTTCTGTGTAAAGGAGTCAGGTACAAATAAACTTACAATTACAATAATCAAGCCAACATTTGGTGTTTTGCAAGTAAAATGAAATCACTTTAGCTCCAACCTTAAATCTGTACTTAAACCTGCTTCCTCAAAGTATATACTACAAATAAAATATATAGAAATGCAGCTGTAACAATTTTTAGATGAGTAATTAAAAGTATCAGAGATGAGGGAGAAAAAGTAGTAAGAAAAAGAAGAACGAGATAGGAAAGCAATCGTTTGGGCATTCATCTATTTAAAATGGTCTTCTTGCACAACTCCACTACTTCCTGAATTGAACGCAGCTCTTCTGTTTCCTATCTTTTTCTACTCGATGAACTGATTAATCATGTTGTGCCTGATCTCACTAACCATGGTTAGCCACATCTGGATTAATCAACTCCCCAAGTAATGAAAGACAGGAAACAGAAGAGCTTCCTTAAGTTCAGGATGTAGTGGCGTTGTGCATAGAGCCCATTAAGGAGATGGACAAATGAGGTGAACAGAAATCATTACACCTAAGAAAAACATGCCAAGAACTTGGGGTGTCCCAGTACTGCTTTTTCGTTTCTGATATAATATCAATATTGCAGCTTTGAGAACTGTGCGATACTGATATTGACCCGATACGACATCAGCATGAATCATACGTCTATTATTACTTATTTTATACTGAGGAGTTAGTAAAGGCTTGATCAAGTAATATTACTAAAACCTGGGGAAAAAAAGTCAACAACAAAAGGTATGAAAACAACAGACCCTTATAAAATTAACCAATAAGTTATGGAAACTTTTACCTTAGGTAGTGTTTTTATAAGCATGGAATTTTAGATGATAAATTAGATTTTTTGGCAAAGATCGGACCAATATCCACGTTGGACTGGGACATTCCTATCAATAACGGGCAGTAAATGAATTAAAACAGATGTAGGAAGTGATGCAACAGATAGCAAAAGATATGCAATACTAGACTCCAAACAATAGGAGAATCACAATGTCAGAGTATTTATGTTGCAGAAGAGTACAGAGCATTTTAGGAATGGGCAAAGACTTGATTATTTAAAGAAACCAGACTACAAAAGGTTTAATAAATAAATAATATGTTGATCTAAATAAGCAAAAAATAATTACATGAAAAAAAGAGTGTTATGACCAAGTAATCTTTTTTTCACCCATTTTTAAATCGTATTTTTTTTAAAAACACTTCAATCTCTGCTAAGCTGAGTAATTCTTATAGGTAATGACACTACAATTAATTCAAACTGAATTGCTATATTGTTTGCCAGATTGGATTTTTCTGGAGAGGAAGTTTCAGGTTTTTCAACAAACACATCAATGTTGATAGAGTTTAAATTGTACATGAATTTATTCATCCCTCCCTTTTCTACAGATTTCCTTTGTGGATCTAAATCTTTAAAAATGTCCCAATCTATACTTAAAAAGGTGTTTAAACAGTCAAATTCTTTTTTTTTATGGTTCTGAAAAGAAAGCAACAGAAAAACAAATATGATTTGGAAATGAAAGCTTCCCCATTATTAAATGAGTTACTTCACAAACACAATTAAATTTTGTAGTAAAATTTTCTTTTACGATATTTATAGACTTCTAATCCTGTTGAAACTAATAAAAAATACCTCACCTTAAAATCTGGAAAAAACAAACAAACCACATTTTAGGCATTAATATAAAATAAATCTATACACTGATTATATTGATACTCTATTCTAAGCAACAGTATAAAAACAAACATCTAATCAATTTAGGGAGGTTAAAAACCATCAAACTTTTATTATTCTACAAACTTGATGATTTTTCCTCCAATGATTATTAAGAATATCAAACTATTAATTTAACTTTAATTAAACACAAACAAATAATAACCTGCAATATCAACTGATAGTTCTGAATCATTTTGTATTAATTCATATTTAAATAGTAAAAATCTGCCAAAAATCTTAACACAATATATGAAGATATGAATTACTCATGGTTATTTGACTTTCAGTAAATTAGAGGACTCCTCCATCAATGCTGAGCTTGTAAAACTAATGAAAAACTGTTTTCTTATGCAGATCCTAAAATTATGCAAATATATTCTCATATTAACTGCAGCCCACTTAATGCCTCGTGAGGTAGAAAGAAACAGTCAGCAGCCAGGTGCTGTTGATCAAATGAACTTGATTACATGATCATAATCAAGTAGTAATGTCTTTATAAAAGCAGATGTTTTGGGAGTGTGCAGATTTGGAGCGTTTAGGTCTGTGTTCGCAAAAACACAAAATGCAGTCCGTCAGTTTGAAAAGATGCAATGGGGATTTATTCCGAGCTATGTTGACTCAATTATTCTAAAGGTGAGAGAGATTATTCACAAAAGAAAAACACTGAAGACAGCAGCTGGTCTTCCCAGGTACGGATGTTTTAGCTTCTCACCTTCAGGTCTGGCTGCATTATGCTTAGAGAAACAGTGAAGGACCCAGGAGCAACATTTCTGTCACCACTGGGCTCAGTTAGCAGGTTTAGTGTTAAAGTTAAAGAGAGCATATTTACAAAAGGTGTGCGTTAAAAAGCAAGGCCTCTTTTAGCATAAAGACAGTCAGGGGTTCGGTAAAGATTGTTTCAATAATTCTGCATTTATGCTTCTATTCTTGAGTCATAAAAACAATCATATGACAAGATAAAATCAGTCTAAGAATTATGAGTGCTTTCGAATGCTCTTTTTTCTTTGGGTTTGATGAAAAGAGGCTGAAAATGACCTACTCTATGTGACTGAATCACAGATCTACATACACAATGAACACAGCATTATGCACCAATGTAGTCATTTATAATCAAACAGAGTGATGTCTCCACTTACCACATGTGCTGGGACTTGGTCCATCTTAGCAGCAGGTGTACCGGGTCTGGGGTAGAACTGGTTAATGAACAGACTGGGAAACTGGTAGTGTTTCACAAGATCCAAGGTGTCCTGGAAGTCCTCATCAGTCTCACCGGGAAATCCACAGATTATATCCGTCGCAATCGTTACCCCAGGTACTCTATAAGGAAGAGAAATACACTTGACTGTTGCTGGATACACTCCTGACTCATAACACACTGTAAATGTAATGTCAGTTTATTTATTTATTTTTTATCATTTGTTTATTCACTTTTCAGAATGTGCATCTTGGATATAAGTGTTCTTCTAATAGTTAAAATAAAAAAAGGAAAACAAAAAATCATTAACCATTGCCTGCCATGAATTACCCTGAAGATTACAGTTCAGAGACATTTTCTAACTGAGCACTTTGAAAAAAGAAAAACTAACTTCTTGAGGCACTTCAGCACTTACAGGATGCTAATGCTTTTCCCCGTGGACTCATTCAGCCAATCAAAATCTGATTAGCAACCTCCTGTGCAAATCACTACCTATAGATTATCGGCACTGGCTTGCTCATTCGATTAATTGTGGCCAGTAGAAACAGCTTTGCAGGGAAGGGATTGATTTCTTGCATGTATATTGTTTGTACTTGCAGCAGTCAGACGGCTTATAAAATAGCTTCAGAGAGATGACATCACTGTCTGTCAGGAGGCAATGTTTCTCTTTAGGACATACTTGACATTCAGAATATAAAAAGGGACCGTTTTGGACATGTCAACATAGATATTTTGAATGATTCATATAAGAATGACAGGTGATATGAACGATTTTATTTACTAGACAGAGTACAGAGCTAAATAAATACATGGTAATCACTGACGCTCGCATCCTAATGTCACAGCTGAAAAGGTCTCCTAATTGAAACAATAAGAAATCGCTCTCAATTCAGGCAAACCAAGCCATTGATTACACACTTTGTTTCATGTTGTGATAGGAAAAACATAAAAGATATTCAAAGCATTGCTTACATGACGACCATTCTGCTGCAGTAAGCCAGGATGCTTTTAGGAACCTAAAAAGTTTGGATTCTTGTCCATTTGGTTTATTTTATTTATTTATTTTTATTATTTATATTAGTGAAATTACTAAAACACAAAAGTGTTTTTCTTATTAAAAACCACTGAAACACCACAACAGAGAGATATATTCCTTAAAACCACAAGTGTATTCAACTGTACAAAAAAACAGAGAGGTGGATAAGAAAAGACATCATAAACGTAAAGAATTGGAAAAGACATTTTCTCTGCCATTGACAACATGATGCATTTTTAATTGCATTAACTTCCTGCATCTGCAGCCCTGTGATAACCTTTGACATATTGATGAGTTTCAATTGGCTCATGGTCATTAATATTAACCAGTGGCTCCCAGGCAAAGACACCCTTGACCTTTTAGATGTGCCTGACAACTAACGGGTAAGAAGGGGAAATTGCATAGACATAAAAAGGCAGAAATGATGTTTATAGTGAAAGGGGAATATAAACATGGGTATTATTACGGCTATTTCTTAAGCTGGTCATTTGGTTGTTTTAAAGCTCCCCCAGTATTTGACACAGAACGAATGGCTATTCCCTTATCTTATTAGATAAACAAACGACTCTCTGGAGCCAGCAGGATTTGCTGTAATTAATTAACTGTGTCCAGAATGGAAACAATGGAAAGTTTTTCTAAGTGCCCTATTCAGAAGGTACAGATAGTAAAGAGTTCAAGATATCGGCTCTACTAACAACAACATGGTTTCCTGCTAACAGCTCTGCACAAAACCAACTACACCAATAATCCAAAGTAAGAACAAAAAGCATAGTATTGAGGAATACTTATAAGGATAACTGATATGATTAAAAAAAACAGCATGTTCAAGTGTACATGTGCAGCTATTTTCTGTCTTGGACAAATGAAAAAAGAGGGAAGGAAGGTTTTAATTGGGCAGGAGGCAATTAATTGTGTCAAGAATAGTATCTGACTATCCTGGCTGTTAGCTGTCCATTCTGTCCAACAGAGAGACATCCTGGGGGAAGAAATGGCTCCTATACTAGCTGATTTTTGCCATTAATGCTCCGTGGTGCTTCCCTGATGGTAAAAGTTTGAAAAGCATATGAGCAGGATGGTTGGGTTAGCAGAGATGTAAGTAGCTCTTTCTATTGGCCTCAGACCGGGAGAGGTCATGGATGGAGGGAAGGTCAGCCCTGGTGATCCTCTCTGCAGACCTAATTGTTCGTTGCAGTTGAAGCTGTCCTGCATTAAGAATTGTTTTTAAAAAACATTTATGTACCTCTGGAGTTTTGAAGAATTACCAAAGCTGTATTTTCCTGCACAGCAAGCTGAAATCTACACCGTTGGCAGATTTAGATAAGATAAATAAAAAGATACTTTTTTTTTTTGATGAGAGAAGCTGAGAAAAGCTTCTTCCGAAAAGATATTTAGACAATGTAAAGTACAATCTCTATCCATTCTTATCTATTTATTTTTACATAAAAAAAGAAGAAAAAAAACATGTTCAAAAATATTTATCTCGTTTCAATACAGACAAATTAAAAGTACTTTAGGATGCCTGAATGCCATCAGGGTTATTAACAGTAAGTTTTTCACCAAGGAGGTTTCAGTTTTTAACCTGGATGGTTTTAGAGGCAGGTATTAAGTGGTTTTTGTCCTCCAACACCTGAAAACTAAGAGCCATGTAATCAAAAATGTGCAACACTCCTTAATGTAGAAGATTTGACCGTACAAATATTGTCAGTCACATTATCTCTACAAAGGTTGTAGAACACATGTATGTATTAACGCTTTTATTTAAACAATATGCACTTCTTTTGAACATGCCCAAATTCACTCAATTTATGTCTCTAATGTGACTAATCAAGAATAGAACAAAACCATGGATTTTGAAACATGTCGTTCAAACACCAAAGGGTATTTGATGCTGGTCCTTAAGGTCTCTGAATAGGGTGTGTAATATTGGTTGGGCTAAAAAAGGCATATTTGCTGTTCTATGAGCCCTAATGCAAGCCTGGTTAAAGGCCCTAGAATGAAACAACAGGTTTTCTTCCTTTTATGGTATTCTCATGAGTATTTAGATGAGCTGTGCACTGATTGGTTGGTTTGCAACGAGAGAAGCTGCTGAGCAAAGGCGCATCATAGCAACAAGCACTCACTGACTGAAACATCAAATTGTTGATAAGGTAGGGTGACCAAACGTCCTCTTTTTACCAGACATCTCCTACTTTTCATACCTAAAAAAATGTCCAGCGGGGAATTTCAAAATCGTCCGGGATTTTGGTCGACTACAGTGCAGCACGTAGTTGAAACAGGGAGCTACGGAGTAACCAAAAAAGGCAACCTCCCTGAATTCGGGACTGCGTCTGAATTTACTCATTTTATAGTGGGAGTTTAGAATTGTGAGATTTGCAGAGAAAGGAGGTGTCGATGGGGTTTGAACTTCTCTGTACGTCCATTTCACCCACTGAACTATCGTTATTCATCTATGACAATGTAAACTCTGTTTTGCATTCTATGACCCCTTTAAGAGGAGAGATCCTTCAGTCAGAAAGACAATTTAAACTAGTGTTTCAGAAATTCATTCATTTCATCTAGTGCTTTGGTCTCTGAAAAACAAAGACCTCATGGTTGGAACAGAATACAATTTCCCTTTGACAGGAAAATGAATTTCCTGTTTCCTAAATTCATATTCTAATGAGGTGATCAATACAAACCCTTATATATATTTTTAGGAGACTAATATGTTTTTGATACATAAATATAATTCAATGAGTCAATTCACATCTATAATGTATAGCTGTTTTTTTTTTTTTTTTTACAGTAATCATAAGGATGCCAGGCAGGAATCTATCTATCTTATGGCATCACTCTCCAGATGCTAAAAGATTTATACAAATGTTGGAAGAAAGAAGTACAATTCAGACCAGCGCTTCAAAATAACCAAAGGAGCTGAACAGAAAAAGGAAGCAGAAGAGGATGGTGCAAATTGACTTTTATGGATTTTTCAAAGGCAGAAGGTGAGAGGGTTAAAAAAAAGACGAAGGAAGAAAAAAAGCATGTGCACATACTGTCATTTTGACACCCCTGCCTCTCCCAGATCTAAGGGTGATAGAGGTGTGATGTGTGATACTAATGAATAACAACCACAGTGATACTTTTCCTTGTTAAAAATGAAAGAAGAGAAACGTATTTTGTCATTGGTTACCTCTGAATAACAGTCTGAGGAAAAGAAATATGAAAGAAAGAGAAAAAGAAATCAAGACTGCAGATGACATTTCAGCTCAGCTTGCTTTTAATTAAACCGATGCAAATGTGAGCTAATCCCACAAAGAATAGCTACAAAAAAAAAAAAAAACTAAGATGAAACAACATAAAAATCTGTGCTGCAGCGAATGAGACTGAAAAACACATCAGGATCAATTGAAACAGACAATATGAAGCATGGTCAGGTGTGGGGAAAGGGGTGTTTTTTTGTGTTCAGTATGAAGATGGCACCCTCTGACTCTGATCACTTCAAGAATAATGAACAGACACATAACAAACAGAACAATCCTTAAGATTTGGGGTAAAAACAAATACAAAAATGAAGAAAAAATATAATGATCTTGGATGAAAGTGTTATAAAATTCCAATTTAAATATAAGTCCGTAAGAGGTAAAGCCCATAATTACACATTTTATATGTCAGGGTCTATAAATGTCTACTTCTTATTTCTAATCATGTCTGAGAGACGACTAAAGGACTATTACCTCATTCTGCAAAGATGTATTCCACCGTTTAGTGTCTGTTGATGGTAATACAGCACAGTGGTCCCTAACCCTTTGTCAAGGCAGCCTGTCTCTTGGGATAAAAGAAAAATATGTTCAACCTTATATCATTTGATCAGTATAAATACTAACAGAATATCTCACTAATTTGTCATTCATTGGTCACGTGTTTTAAATAGTTATTATTTTCAGTAAAATCTAAATGAAAAATGGCCTGTGTTCATCTTTATGTCCAGAGGTGTAATGTTCTGGTTCCTTAGCAAAGCTAGTTAAAGGAATTTAATATTATCCTAACAAGGAGCTGAAAAAATTACCGAGAACTAAATTGTAGCCTGTTTGTCAGCAGGTAAATAAG